CGCACACTCTGGTATCTCTTCTCAAGCCAACTTCTATCTGTTTCTTGAATATTGTTTCTCAAGAAGTTACAACCAGGCCACTGGAATTAGATTTTTCATCAGATTGGGTTTTGTTGCAGAGAAACATATATTCTACCGTTCAACCATATGATATACACAGAATTCTTTAATATCATAAATCTAGGTGTCATACTAGAATCAACAACCAATCAAATTTTGTAGCCTCCCACTCTATCAGTTTATTCAAGATAAACTCAACTTCATGGTTTCCTATGTCTCACCGCAGAAAGCTTACAGCTCCAGAGGGTATTATTAGCCTGTAAACCATTTGATTGCAGTCCTTTGATAGTGAGTACCAAAGTCTAGTCTGGTACAGGGCCATGCACAGATAAAGCATGTGATGGATCAAATGCAGGTACATTTTTTCTATTCATAGCAAAGGCCCTATCCCAGTTTCTAACATAGGACCTCCCAATACCCAACACTGATTAAAATATTTCAGAAGAGATGAATTTTCAAGTTGAATAGCAGAATAAAATGATCTAAAAGCGATCACAAAAGCGGCTCTCACCTACTAAACACCAGAATAAGACAACAACACACAAAGTTAAAGCATCGCTACTAATGCATGATTGATGACAAGATGATGACACCGTTTCTCGTCTGTGAGCAAAACCTTCACACTGAGATCTCTACCTTATTCATTCCACACATATCTTATTTCAACAAAAGTGACAGTATGTAAAACAGGAATGATAAAATATAGATAATAATATGTTAAAACAGGAATGATTAAATACATGAATATGCTAAACAAATCAGTGGTCTGTGGACCACTCGCCTCTGATTGGTGAAAAGGGAACGGGGAAAAGGAAAATGTGGTCCTGTCTTCAAAGGGAGCTCTGCTACAATAAAGCGGGCATCAACCTGGCATCCTCTGCAGATGATTGCTATGAGAATCACTACTCTAAATACTTTTGTATGTCATATTAAACATAATTTTGCAGTGGAAAAATAGATTATTGATGAAATTGCCAAAACTAATAGCATTGAAGTACAAAATATGCAAAGGGATGACAGAAAATAATATATTAAACACTCATTATTCCATATCCAGTCACATGAAAAGAAGTTACAAACCTCATTCAACCGTGGAAGAATGCGCATAACTTCTGGTCCTCTACTATCAATTCTAATGTTTGATCCTACCGCATCAGTGACATCAATGGTTTCTGTGCCTTTCAATTCCCAGTTTCTAGCTTTAAAAGCAAATGGTTTTGAGGTAAGTGCACCCACAGGACAGATATCTATCACATTGCCAGAGAGTTCGCTTGTCATAAGTTTTTCGACGTATGTTCCAATTTCTTCTCCGCTTCCACGTCCTAACATGCCAAGGTCCTGAACACCAGCAATCTCAGTAGCAAATCTCACACACCTGTCATAAGTAGTAACGTTTATATTTAGCTTCATTCCGTGCCATACATAAGTAGCAAGAGATAATCGACAAATCCTCCATCAAATTGATAAGGCCTCTGTAGGTCAAACTGTACTCACCATCTCAACTTGTCATAGAAAGTATCTCTAACAATTTTAACAGCTTAAAGAACAAATACTTGAAAACAAGGTATAGCTTGAAGAGGACGAAGTACAGGTGAGAGTAGTTCTCTGAGAATCCACCAAATGAAACTTTAACCAAGGGATAGTTACAAGTTGTAGGTTATAAAATCCAAAAGCATATAGAAAAACTAAAGAATCCAAAAAGACCACTGTATGAAATAGAATTTAGCATGTACACCCTCAGGTTTCTGGAGGGAAAACAAATTTCATCATGGCTCTTGTATAGCCAGACATAACTAGGTATAAATGTTACAAATAAATTAACCTTCTGTTTCAGTACCCTCCATCATCTCCATATTAAATACACTAAAATTTATTACATATTAAATGTAGTATAAAGTATCAGTAATACATTATATGACTCATAGGAAGAAAACCAGGGTGACAAGAGGCCTTCGAGTGACAATCTTTTATATAGAAGGCAAGCCATAAAATATAAAGCACCAAATTCACAAGTACTAACTATGTCACAGAACATAGCTCTGAAATACATAGTATAAATGTCATTTATTTTAGTATTTCAGTAAGCCTTGCACAGATTTCCTCCTAACCATAGGGAAGATGGCAGATTACAGCAGCCAGATAAAAATACTGAGTTTACCGTGTGTGCGCATGCACATGTGCGCGCGCGCACGTGTGTGCACATGAAAGATTCAAATGATTTCGTAAAGATCAAAAGGACACAGTTTTCTCCTTGCGCACTGAATGAAAATGGATTAGAAGTACGAACCTTGTGCACTGAATGCAACGAGTCATCACTGTCTTTACTAAAGGACCCAAATTCTTATCAACTACAGAACGTTTCATCTCCGTGAATCGTCCACGATCAGATCCAAAGGCCATAGACTGGTCCTGAAGATCACACTCCCCTCCCTGATCACAGATTGGGCAATCTAATGGATGGTTCATCAATAAGAACTCCATCACCCCTTCCCTCGCTTTCTTTGCGATTGGAGTGTTCGTCTTAATCTTCATCCCTATAATTCAGAATAACAGAAATGTCAAAATAATCAAAGCACCATGGACTTAAGAGGTGTAGAGCATGTCAGGATTGAACACAGATTCAACAAGCAAAAGAAGTGTCATGCCAACTTAAAAAAAAAAAGAATTAGAGTTTATTTTCAGATACATCTGTCAGTTTTGCAGGCATTTTCAATTATTAGTGCTTTCGCAAATAAAATTTATTTGCTACCGGTGCCTTATTTTGCTTACTGTCTTCACCAAGCCCCTAAACCAAGCCCAGAAGCCATCACCAAGTACCTAAACCAAGCTGTACAGAAGCTAAAACCCATTACTAACTATCAGAATTAACCCAATCAGATCAAAGGGTTAGTAAACAAGAGAAGCCCAACGTTAACACTCTCTCCATTAATCCAATTCCTGTCCTCTTTTTCTTAACTATCTCTTCCCCATTTATTCTTTCAGTGATTCCTAAAGCTAAAACCAACCACAAACATCAAAGAAAAAGAGCTTAATCCTGGAAAAACCACATTATTTCCTCTTTCTGCTTCAGATTTCCATCCAACTATAAACTAGCGACTAATCCCACAAATTTCTCTAGTAGCTACAGAAATCTTCTTCTAGCACTGAATCCCCAATTAACGAATAACGATTATAATTACCACTCTTCTTTCCTTAATCTCTACTATTTAACTCCAACCAGAAAACATCCAAACAGAAGCTCAATGAGGTCATAAAGCATCAAAATCATATCTTTTGGAAACCTAAAACCACGCCAAACATCAAGCTGAAAGATCAACTCACACGAGTCTACAACAAGGACTAAATACTTCACCAACAATAATACCAGTTTCCTTCACTAAACGCTGGTACTGACCTCCAACCAGCTCTAAAACTCAATACAAAGACATCAAAATCGAATCTTTCCTTCATTCCACCACAAATCACACCTTGCATTCATCAGTTTCACCAAAAAGACTCCCCCAAACCCTAACCCTAAATCCCAATCTCAATCAAATCCATACCTGGCATCGCCGGCATCGCGCAAGACGCCACAGGCTTCGGGGACTTCTCGACCTCAACGAGACACATCCTGCAGTTCCCAGCGATTGAGAGCCGCTCATGGTAGCAAAACCTAGGGATATCAACACCAGCAACAGAACAAGCTTGAAGCACAGTCATCCCCTTAGGGATCTTGACGGGGTACCCATCGACGAAGACCTCGATGGCGTCTTCGGGGTTGGGGAAGTGGACGCGGGCCCTGCGCCTGGGGCCGCGGCGGGTAGATTCTCCAGGCGCGGCGAGGTGCGCCTCCGGCGAGTCGGGGTGTGGACGAGGGGGAGGAGGAAATGAGGGGGTGAGCGGGCGGCGGCGTGAGTTGGGGGCGGGTACGCTTGAGAGATCGGAGGAGGAGATTGAGCCCCATTTGCTTGGTTTTGGGCGTTGAGAGTTTGAGAGAAGCGAGGGCAAATGAGAAGGGGATTTTGCTGCTAAAATAAAGAGTGGAAACGAGATTCTTACGACTGCCGACCCTTGGGAGACGGTAGATAGTGTTTCTTTCTCTTATTTCTTTTCTTTTTCCAGGGATAAATCCCAACCGGAGATTTTTTTTTTTAAATAGGCCAATTTTGCTAAATATTTAGTAAAACTGTCCGTTTTGCTAAATATTTAGCAAAACCGATTTTTTTTTGCCAACTTTTGCCAGCTTATCAAAACTGGCCAAAAGTAGGTTGGTTTCATTGAATCTGTCTCTTGAAACACATGAGACTACTAATCCAGTCCCGTGTGTTTAGTGGCTGCTAATCGGCCACTAAACAAGAATCAGAAAATTTACGGGACTACTAGTCCAATGGATTTTCTGAATAGTTTTCAGAAAATGCCCGAAACTACTAGTCCTGTGCATTAGACAGACCCCCAGCAAATCCACGATTCGTCGAGCTTATTTAAGCCTTAGTTGTGCCCAAAGATTAGAGCACAACCATCATCTCTCTCTTGATTTCTCTCCCTCTCCAACCCCTCATTGATAAACTCTCTCCCTATCTCTCTCTCTCCCAACCTCTCTCCCTCATTTTCTCTCCCACTCTCTTTCCATCAATCTGTCTCCCCCATTCTCTTGATTCTCTCCCAAATCACCGCTTTCTTCCTCAAATTTCTCTCTTATTCCCTTCAAACTCATTCTATCCAAACTCAAATTGGGATCTTGCCCAAAGTTCACTCCAACGTTGTTGATCTCCGATGCCGACGAATTTTAGAACTTCATCAATGTATAATTTTCTCTTTATTATTTAGTTAAAATTATAGTTTGGAAATAATTGTATATTTAGAATAATTTTATTAATTATGATGAACAATAGAATCTAGTTAAAATTTGATAGATTAAAATTGATATAGAGGGCCTTTCAACTACAATTTAACTAGTGGCTAGAAATAAATATGTAAAATTTAATTTTTGAATAATATAAATAATTTGCATATGATGAATGTTAATATTTTAGTTTGAATAGAGAATGGAATACCGGTTATTTGCTTATTCAATGGGAAACTGAGTGTTGGAATGAATAATATGCCTATATATGAGGGAGAATCTAGTAATATGTTCATGTTATCTAGAAATTGCAACTTTGATGGAATGATGGAGCAAATATACAGAGTTAGTAGAATTAATCATGCAGAGTATGCCACTAAGGTCTTCCGTAATTGTCCGATAAACTAAAAAAACAATTCCTATAGAGATCACCAATGATCAAGAACAGAGTAACATGAAACAACTTGCAGCAAATCAAATCTCAATCGAGTTGTTCATTAAAAATATTCTAATATTCGGTTGCCCAAGTTTCAAATGCTCCTGGAGAGTTCTCCTGCATGCTTGACTTAGAAAATAACTCGAGCGAATTCATTTCATCTCCAAGTGATGTGCACTTAGAAAATGTCTCGAGTGCAATGACATGGACTCAACCTTCCTATTGTGCAACATCAAGTCATATGTTCCACAACGCTTCGGGTCATGTTACAGTTAATTTACTTGTTGATTCTATTGTAGAAGAGGATGAGGATGCAGATGCAGATGGTGATTATGAAGATACTAAAGAGGAGGAGCCTCTTAATTGCATGCAATGTGCAATTGGAGGAATCGATGAGGACACCCTTTGGATGAATGAATTTTGCGTAAACAACAATTATGTGGAGTCTGAAGAACCGTTGCCAGAAGAGTTTCAATATGAGAACTGGATAAATGCCTCACAAGCTGAGTCCGTTGAGCTTGGTTCTAATTTCGAACGATCCGAGGATTTCACTTTAAAAAAAGGGGATCTATTCGAGAATAAGGAAACATTGGTTTTCGCTATACGTGAATGGTCAATCAAGAATTGGGTCAAATTCAAGATGGTGAAAACTAATACAACCAATTATCATGTAAAGTGCTACTTCAATGAGAAAGCTCAAGGAGAGAATTCAAGTGCTCAAGACGAAAGAAATACAAAGTTTCCATGGAAGCTTAATGCAGCTGTTAGGAAAAGAAATATAATGGCCAATTTTTTATCTCTAGTTATAAGGGACTACATACATGTTACAATCCAACTGTCAATGTCGATCATAAGCCAACAACTTCCTCTTATATCTTGAAGCTAATTATGCTCGAAGTAAGGTGAGAACTTGATCTTACTCTAAGTCAGATAATTACAAGGGTATACGATGTGAGAAAAATAACTATTCAAATATAAAGCATATGATGCATAGAGAAAGGCATTGACTAAAATCTTTGGATATTAAGAAAAATCTTACGAATTACTTCTGCAATATCTTGAAGCAATTAAGAGGAAAGATCTAGGTACCAAATATGAAATATTGTCTAAAGAGATTACACCAGGAATGGAGAGGTTCATGCAAGTATTTTGGGCATTTGCACCCGCTATCAAAGGGTTCTCATTTTGTCGTTTGCTCTTGAGCATCAATAGCACAAATTTATATGGCAAGTACAAAGGAGTGCTCTTGATTACGACCGGTGTAGACACAAATGGTAGGATATTTCCATTGGCTTTCACAGTTGTTGAGATGGAGAAAATATCAAGTTTGAAGTGATTTTTTCAATGTATTCACAAATTCATCCCTCATGCTCAAAGTCCTAGAACGATTACCTTTATATCCGACCGGCTGAAAGGAATTCCATGACCTTGCACGAGGGGGTTTGGAGCACCACATCATCATCAGTATTGCTTGAGGTATTTAAGAGATAATTTTAAGAAAAAAATTAGAGAGATCAACTTACTATAATCTATTGTACTATAATCTATTATGGCAAGCCAGGTGTGAAGTCGACACACTGGCATATGAGCATTGTAAGGAGAAAACTAAGCCCCTATCAGTTGAAGCACATAATTTGATTGAATAAAACTTGAAGCAACAATACGAAAATCGATGGGTATTATGTAGAGATAGTGGAGTGCGCTATTGTATGATAACGACTAATTGCTCTGAAAGTTTCAATGGCGTACTCAGGGGTGCCCGAGTTATGCTAATTCAAGCCTTGGTTGCAAGGACGTTTTATAGATTAAACACATACTTTAATAAGAGACGTACTGATGGTGCAAGTTGGACGACGAGTTACACTCCAAAAAATAAGAGTATTCTGCAGAAAAGGATTATGGTTGTAAGATCATGTAGAATTACTTCATTCAACCATAATGAATGAGAGGTTAAAGATTGTGCATGTACTTATACCATTTATCTCTTTGATCGGGAATGCAGTTGTACTTGTAATATACCATAATTACAAAAATTATCATGTGAACATGTTTTAGCGGTTAGTTCCAATCAGGATGGTGGCGCTAGATTACCTTATGATCGGTATTGCTCAACTTGGTATTCAACGAATCATTACCGAAAGACTTACAATGAGAGTTTTCATCCTCCCGATGATAGTCGTTATTCACCAGCTTATAATGGATCATGTCTATTACCACCTCAGTACAAAAGAGCAGACAACAGGGGAGGGGTAAACTTTTAGGTTGTATGTGATAGCTTAGTAGTTTTTTACTTAGACTCTATTTGTAACTGCATATACTTCATACATTTGGATTTGTTAGGAGTATTGGCGTATGGATATGTATATGAGCTATCTACTATGTTGTGATATTGTGAATTAATTAAATGTGTTTTTAATTTATGTTTATTTCTTAGTGTTTATAACTTATATAACAATTATACTATTTAGCAATGTATATGAGGCGGATTATATATTTTTGTGCATATTTAGCAATATATATAAGGTATATATTCAATTAGTATGATCTGTGCGTATTTTGTGCATGTTTTGGTTTGCCCAGCAAATCCACGGGACTAGTGGACTACTAGTCCCGTGGATTTGCTAGCAGCAGAGGCGAAGTCTCTGTCTAACGCACGGGACTATTAGTCTCGTGCGTTTCCTGGGAACTATTCAGAAAACCCACGGGACTACTAGTCCCTTGCATTTTCTGAAAACTATTCAGAAAATCCAGTTTTTAGAAAATCCATGAGACTACTAGTCACATGGGTTTTCTGAGTCTTGTTTAGTGGCCAATTAGCGGTCACTAAACGCATGAGACTGGTATCCTATGTATTTCAAGAGACAGATTCAGCAAAACTGACCTCTTTTTGCCAAGCTTCGATGAACTGGCCAAAAAGAGGTTGGTTTTGCTAAATATTTAGCAAAACTATCCGTTTTGCTAAATATTTAGCAAAAGTGGACTATTTTAAAAAAATCTCCATCCTACCCCCCCTCCCCCCACCCCCAATAAAAAACCCATGCAAAGGGGATTCTTTGTAATTGATAGTTGATATTATGTGTTGTTAATTTACTTACTAATTGTGATAAATAAATATTTCAAGTAAAATTTATGGAAACACATTGTTGCTGACAAATATTGGTAAATAATTTAATGATGCGATTTTTATTAGATGTATTTATCATAATAAAATTTGAACTTTTTAATTAGATCAATTTAAATAAGGAAAAATTATGCTAAGGCCCCAATATGAAGAACCTCACGTGAGTAACCCCTTCAACCTTTCCCCATTCTGGATTAGATCCAGAAAAACTCAATTAATTTATTCAGGACCCTCCACGTCAGCAGTATAGAGAAAAGTTATGGTATTTCCTTATAAATCCTAAAATGTCCTCCTTCCCGATAACGTAGAGTCCCATCAACGCACTTACATAGCGGATACCAGATCGCATTAATGGCGATTTGATGGTGGAATGGAGGTAAATTTCTCTTCATTTTTCTCTATCATGAGCAATAACTTTTTAGTAAATTTTAGGGTTTTTGCTCTTCAACTATCAACACTACTATTGTCCTAAAATTCTCTCCATTACTCCTTCTATCTTCCCTTTCATTAATGCCTGAGAAAGCTATCATCCATATGATCTCCTCAGGTGATAAAGTAGTTTTCTCAATGATTAACTCTTCAACCACCATTATAGAACTAAAGTTTGATGTGTCAGAGAGGTTAAAACTTCCATATGATTCTTTATCATTCACATAAAAGTATGAAATAAACAACAACTTCAGCTTTACGATTGAGAATAAATATGATTTGTCGTCTATGATGGAGCATAGCCATAATATAGGGTGTAAAGAGATTCATATGAAAGCTTTTCAAAACCAGAGTATTTGACTTCCCATAACACCCAACAAGTTCTAAAAGACCTATAAGTAATCGGTTTTTACAAAAAAAAAAGAAATTTGTGATTTCTGATTGAACATCATGAAAAGATGAAAATTTAAAGAAATACAGGTTAAGTGTGACAAGTAACATGTTACGTTCAATAGTTTTGATGTTAAGTTCAATAGGTATGATGTTAAGTCTAATGAGTTGGAAGTTAAGTTTTAAAGGTTGTAAGTTAAGTCTAATGAGTTGTATGTTAAGTCTGATTGGTGGAATGTTAAGTATAATGGACTGTATATTAAGTCTAATGGGTTGAATGTTAAGTATAAGTTGTTACATGTTAAGTCTAATGAGTTAGATGTTAAGTCTAATTGGTTGGACGTTAAGTCTACATGATTGAATATTATGTCTAATCAGTTGAATGTTAAGCCTAATGTGAAGAATGTTAAGTCTAATGAGAAGAATGTTACATCTAATAAGAAAAATGTTAAGTTTAATCTGTTAAATGTTAATTCTAATAGGAAAAATATTAAG